GAAAAAAATTAAAAGAAAAAAACCCAAAAGCCACGCTTTACTAAGTCTGACAAGTCAAGCCAGCCCACCTAGCTCATTTTTATCAGGGCCTACGTGTGAGCTAACCTTAGCTTGCTTGCATGATTGGACCTTTAATTTTTGTTTGCTTGCATCATTCACCTTTTTTTTTTGTGAAAAGATATCACATGACACATTATTTGATTTGCCTAGATTCTGGCCACAATAATGGCTAAAAAATCAGAATTTAAGTTTGTTTTACTTAAAAATCTATTTTTCAATCTAATTTTTTACCAAAAACACCTATAAAATACCATAGTAATCATGATAAATCTATTTATGGCATAAACCTAGAAAACCACCCAAAAACCAAAATCAACCTGAGCTTAGATATATTTTTCATAAACTTTAAATATAAAACAACACATAATATGAACTCTTATCATCAAATGAAATTATTTAATACAAATATTGTCTATATTGGTGTTTTAAATAGGTGGCAACAAAATTTTATTCTCTTTACCGTTGGAATTCGACAACCTCTTTTTCTCTCATCTCTCAACTATAAACTAAAAAAATAATAAAAATAAACTTTTATAATAAAACTAATTTGGAAAAATATTGAGATGCTGAATTTGCGTAACTTACATCATTTTAAAAGTTCAAATATCATAATGTATTTTTTACAAAATTTATGGCATGTCACTCATATTTGACATTTTTCATTTTAGAGACATCAAACCTTCAATTATGATACCACTTATATCTTTAGAAAGATTTTGACGAGATAAATTCAAAAACATTAAAGAAAGTATCAAATATGACCCGAGAGGTCGCATTTGCCACAAAAAATAATTGAGTCATCAATTATCTATGGGAGGCAAGTATAGCACACTCAAGTCATGTTGAAAACTTTTATTATTGCCGTTAGATTTATTTCATAAAGACATTTATATGATAATAAAAACTTCAATGCACCCCAAAGATTATTATTTAATTTTTTTTTCTCATGCACGACAAGTTTGAAAGTCGTATTTTTCAACCGTAAAAACTATACTATTTCATTATTTTTTTAAATTTTGTTATTTAATTGATATTTTTTTTAAATACTAAGGAATAAAAATAGCCGGAAAATCATACAAAAAAGTTGAGGAGCCTTTCTACTCTTTTTTTTTTCAAACCAACTTCCCAGATTTAAAGAACATTTGGTTATACATGTATATATATTACATGTGTGTGGATATATATAAATAGCAAAACAAGTTTTTTTTTTTTTTTAGGGTTAAAACTTTTGCGTGGATACAAAAGGCTTGGATTCTGGTGTTTTTCCACATTTACCATTGGTTTAAAAGTTATTGGTTCACATGTAAAAGAAAATAACTAAGAAATCAAGTATTTTTGAATTGGTTACTGAAATTTTTTAAAAAAATTAATTGGGAAGGAGCAGCATTAACTTCCACTAGGCTGCCTGAGACATTAAGCGGTATAAGGAAGGAGTGGCGCTTGTAGATCAATTGGGTGGTCAAGCTGGTTCGAAACTTGAGAGAGTGTACAAGTTTTCCTGCCGGGATTGGAAAATCAAGTATTTTTGAATTGGTTACTGATTTTTTTTAAAAAAATTAATTTTTCGCTGATTGGCTGCCATTATATTGAATACAAAATAGGAATTAAAAAGAAAAAAAAACATCAAGTATTACTTCAATACTGAAAAACTTGGGAATTATTACATAACTTCCTTTCTCCTATAATTGTAATCTTTTTTTAATAGGGATTCGCATATGAAAAAAAATAAAAAATAGTTACGTGTGAATGGTCTATCAATTCATTAGGCTTTAACATTTGGCAAAGGAGTCTAGAAATTTTGGTTACGGGGAAATGACAGTTTTTAAAGGGAGCAGCATTAGCTTCCACTAGGCTGCCTGAGACATTAAGCGGTATAAGGAAGGAGTGGCGCTTGTAGATCAATTGGGTGGTCAAGCTGGTTCGAAACTTGAGAGAGTGTACAAGTTTTCCTGCCGGGATTGGATTGCAATGATGCTTCCGAGGTGTATCGTTTAGCTGTGTCTGTTTGTGGCTTTGCTGTTTTTTTACCCCGAAAAAAAGTCTACATGCAGTTGACAATTTTGATGATTTCTATCCGCAATAATACATTCCATAAAAGCCATAATGACTAAAGGTTTAGTTCATGGGCTAAAAGGAATTGAAATGGCCAGATGTGCTCACTATCTGCTATACCCACAAGGCTATAGCCTGAAGTTATTTAGGGAAATATTACAAAGAATGTTAATTTTGCCTAATAACAAAAGATATACATCTTGTATATGTTCTGGCATCAATTATTAGTGACTAATTCGTACTGAGGAGAGTCGAGATGCTACTGTCTCAGCATAATAGCTCCCTGTAATAGTTCAATTACTAGTTTGTCAGCAAAAAGTGTGATGTAGTTATTACAAATAAATCATGTTAGTATTTTTATATTCGTTTTCCTATGACCTTTTCCAAACTCTCAATCTTTTTGCGAGCATTATCAACACAGGTGGGGTACTTGCTCCCCGCTAGTTCTGAGCAATTCGTTTGGAGTATGCATCACGTGGCTTAGAAACTGACAGCGGAGGCCGAGTAACTCCATTGTTGAGGCTCTGTGCCAAACCTTGAGTACTGCTGCCTTAGCTTGGAAAGAAAGCGTTGTGAGACCCAGAAGAAGCAAACTGAGAAAGTACACAATATTATGATGTTGGTGTACTTACTACTATAGCGAGGTTCCTTAGCATTTACTTTTCTCACACATAAAGTTACTACTAAATCGGATTTGGTCTTGCCCCTGCAAAAAAGCATCGTTAGTGAAGTAAAGAGCCTTAATAATTCATCAACTGACTTGGGGTGGTTGTGGTGACAAAGAAAGATATCACATGATGCTCATCACGGGGGTAAAGTGAAGAGTAGAAGCTCAATGTTTATAATTATAGTAGATAATTAACCACCACCAACTGAAACATTGACATTTGGAATAACGATTTGGTGCAGTTTGCCTGGATGACCACACAGTTGTATATAGACTATAAACTGATACAATGTTTGTTTTCTGATAAGTGAGGAAAATTATTTTTATATTTATTTACTATTAAAAAAATTAGTTAATAAAAAATATTTTTCACTTACAAAAAATTTAACTTGATTTTTAGAAAAGTGTTTTTTTAGAAAATTTGGGTGGAAGTTATGAAAAATTTAAAAATATCATATTATTTGCTGATTATATCAAATTTGATTCTCAAACTTTTAATTACTATATATATTTTATTTAGAATATTTATTATTCAATTTTATCTTTTAAAATTTAATTTTTATATTGATTTTGGCCATTATTTTTCTAATTGTTATTTGCTTTTCTCTTGTTATTTTTTTATTAAAATTTTTTATCTATCAAATTTGATCCTCATTCTTTTGATTATTATTTATTTTATTTTAAATAATTTATGAAATGTTAATATTATTATTTTAATTT